GTTCAATCAGTATAATCAAACACAGCTGGACTCAAATGAAGGTGTAGAACCATCTCAGGGATGATCAGCAGAAATGGACAGCACCTAAGTTAAATATATGAGTGTCACAGCAAAGGGTCTGAATACTTATGACCATGTGATATTTCAGTTTTTCTTTTTTAATAAATCTGCAAAAATGTGTGTCAAATTGTGTTTCTGTCAATATGGGGTGCTGTGTGTACATTAATGAGGAAAAAAATGAACTTAAATGATTTTAGCATATGGCTGCAATATAACAGAGTGAAAAATTTAAGGAGGTCTGAATACTTTCCGTACCTACTGTATACACTAGCTAGATGTCTCTTAGTTGTGAAGATCAGCATTTGTTGACTGTGCCCAGATCTTGACTAAAGCATTGGGGTTATAGAGCCTTTGCCCCTAAACTTTGGAATGATGTACCAATTTAAGTTAGAACACAGGCTTTTGATTGTGGTATAGGCTGAAGTATGCTGAGTATTTTTGTGATGGTGCTGTTATTGTTTTTCTTCTGTGACGGTGTTTTTATTCTTATACTATTTTACTTTTTTAAATTTGGCTTTTGTTTTTATAGTTTTGTGCAGCACTTTGTAACAGTTTTGCTTAGAAAAATGCTATATAAATGAAACTTGCTTGCTTGCCTTTTTGTGAAAACAATACAACTCACCTTGTTTAAATGTGTAAAGGGCACAGTCAAGTTGGGAAGGTAGTCAAGCTTATGTTTTAATGTGGCTTTTGCGTCGGCTTAGTCTAGCCAGATGTTTACTGTTCCTATCACGAATCATGCTAGCAGGTGGCAGTATGTTTATTTGAAATATGAACTTTGGCTGTGGCTAAAGGAGCATGTGATGATGGTATATAGAATAAGTCTAGTTTCCTGTTAAGTGGAGTATGGTTGACAGAACTTCTGCTGTAAGCCATATCCTTTCTTTTTTGTCATGAAGGCTACAAGAGGATCCCCCTGCTGGTGTTAGTGGTGCCCCATCAGAAAACAACATCATGGTGTGGAATGCAGTCATATTTGGGTAAGACATTATATAACTATTACCTATAAAGTACTTGGGAACATTTTGTCCTAAGTACAGATCATGTGAGATGTACAAAATAAATGACAAAATACCTTTTTTCCTTTTGATCTCACAGCCCTGAAGGAACTCCTTTTGAGGATGGTAAGTGACCCACTGTGGTCATGACTTATTCTGTGTAGTAAGGCATAATGCCTCTATAGTACATGCGAAACATATAATGTAGCAACTTGACCTCATCTTGACTCTTGATTTAGGATATGTTTACTTAGATACCAGTTGCATAACAACCCACTTGGTTTTCTGTTGTGCATTTAATGCCAATGCAGTTTTCTGTTTTGAAGTATTTTTCACCTTGAATCAAACGGTTTGATAAAATATATATTTTCTGTCTTTGTCCCAGGTACATTTAAACTCATTGTAGAATTCACAGAAGAATACCCCAACAAGCCCCCCACAGTACGATTTGTGTCAAAGATGTTTCATCCAAATGGTAAAAATATCTTATTTACTGGCGCTATTATAGTGTTAGTGGTATTTGGGATGGTATATAATTTTCTTTTGTTCCACAGTCTATGCAGATGGCAGTATATGTTTGGACATCCTTCAGAATCGTTGGAGTCCCACCTATGATGTATCCTCTATTCTCACATCTATCCAGGCAAGTATCAAGAAACAACAGTAGAATCATGGAATGTATAAACATGTTATGCCTTATGTTGCTGCTTCCCCCAAAAGTGAACTAAAAGGTATTCCATTTACAATTATTTAAAACACAAAGCAAATCATAGCACCAAGCTCTTTATTACCATGAGTTTCAAGATCAAAGATTTTTATTGTCAATTCATTATATGTGCAGGACATACAGAAAATCGAAATACCGTTTTTCTCTCGCGTAGTATTGAATGCCATACCATTTAGGAAACTAAAATGGAATAAAAGTAGAGTAAAAATAGACTAAAAGAATAAGAAAACTAAGTCAAAGTGATTAGGATAAAACTAAACAGTACAACCTAATAGGCTATGTCTCAAACCCTGTGCAATCTGCGACAGTAGCGCAAATAATAAGAAGATTGTCAAGTGGTTGTGAGATTGAGATGCACATGGACAGTAGTGCAAATGACAGCGGCAGCAGGTATAATGGTAAAAACAGTCAGCAGCAAATTTGCATGTAATAATACAAGAAGGTGGAATGTACTGGGTTTGTGCAAAACAGCAGAGGTAGTCTTTTTATGTTCTGTGGTGGGTCACGGTCCAGGGGCAGAGGGGAAAGGTAATGGACAGTGTTCAGCATCCTCACAGCCTGGTGGATGAAGCTGTTTGTAAGTCTGGTGGAGTGGGCCTGAAGACTTCGATACCTCGTCCTTGAAGGCAGGAGTCTGAAGTGGGATTGTGCGGGGTGGGAGGTCTCCTCAGCAATGCTGATGGCTCCGCGGGTGAGGCTGGTGTTAAAAATGTCCATGAGGGAAGGCAGAGGGACACCGATGATATTGCTGGCTGTTTTCACTATGCATTGCAGGGCCCTTCTGCAGGAGGCAGTACAGGCTCTGTACCACACAGTGATGCAGCCAGTGATGTTGCTGTCAGTGGTGCCCCGGTAGAAAGAGCGCATGATGGGGGGGTGGGACACTGGCTCTCCTCAGTTTGCAGAAGAAGTAGACACATGATTGATCCTTCTGGCCAGTGATGTGGTGTTGTTGGTCCAGGAGAGGTCCTCAGAGATGCACACCCCCAGAAACTTGGTGCTGCTCACCGTCTCCATTACAGCTTTAGAGGTTTTCTCCTGAAGTCCCCTCTAAAGCAGAGTTTGGTGTTTTTAGACCATAAATCTCTCATTGTATTAAAAAATAAAATTTTGTTCTGTGAAAGGAAAACACAATGCTCACGTAAATGTTTATGAATACAGGATTGAAACAAATATTTAAATCACTGATTAATTTGATTATTTTCTCGATGAATCTATTAATAATTTGGTCTATAAACCATGATATTTGAAGTCAGTTTTATAAAGCCCATGTTGCACCTTCAGTTGTTTTGTTAAACCAGCAGCCCGAAACCAAATATATAAATGTAGCAATTGTTAAGAGTATTAAAAAAGTTACTTTTGAAATACTGGAATTGTGACATTTTAACTATGTATCCAGAATCAAACCTGATTTTGTTTAATAGAAATCTGTGTATGAACATTGGTGATTGCTCCAAGGAAAGACCCTCCTTGTTCTTTCCTCTTTGTCCATGGATCCGCCCCACCTGTGGGGGTGGTTGTGGCTCATGAGGTAGAGCAGTCGTCTCCTGACCAGCAAGTTGGTGGTTCAACTCCCGGTCTCCCCACATGCCTAAGTGTCCCTGAGCAAGACACTGAACCCCGAATTGCTCCCGGTGGCTTGACTAGCGCCGGTGCATGGCAGCCTGTCGTCATCGGTGTGTGAATGTTGTGTTTGAATGGGTGAATGGTGTATGATCTTCTGTAAAGCGCTTTGGCCAGTGCAACACACTGTGAGAAAGCGCTATATAAAATACAGTCCAGTCCACCTTTTTCACCTCCCTTTTTTTTGATTGTCTGCATGGAAAAGTTATGGTGTTTTAAAAATTGCATAAAGAAATGTGCTTCAAAAAAATAGCAGCATCAAAAGCTTCTGTGACAGTCATTGAACAGTCTCTCAGCAGAGCAGGGATGTTCCTTTCTAAAGTTTCTGTATTCTATTTTTATTTGATGGTTAATCTGTTTAATTCACTAGCAGTAATAATGGCACTACAGTAAGAAAATCATTTGCAGCATGATTTTTGAAATTGCATTCAGTTTTGTTTTTTAATAAGCAGATGAAAAATTGGTAATTCGGGTGATACTACTTTAATGAACATGAAGTTATAGTTGGACCAAATGGCATCTGCATTTGTGAAGGCATGTAAATGGTCTTGGTCTTATACTTGTATAGCGCCTTTCTATGTTTTTACAGCACTCAAAGCGCTTTCACACTATTCGGCCATTCACCCATTCGCACTCCCAAGCACTCACGCATTCACACACCGGTGACATCACCGGGAGCAACTGGGGGTTCAGTGTCTTGCTCAAGGACACCTCGACATGTTGACTGGACAAGCTGGGAATCGAACCGCTAATCCTCCGGTTAGGAAATGACCCGCTCTACCTCCTGAGACACAGCCGCATGTGACTATGTAAATTACTGTATTGATGCAAGTTGGTAAAATCCACTCCAACATGCTCACCTTCAGTATTGTATTTTTCCCCCAGTCTCTGCTTGATGAACCAAACCCCAACAGTCCAGCCAACAGTCAGGCAGCTCAGCTCTACCAGGAGAATAAACGGGAGTACGAGAAGCGTGTGTCTGCCATCGTAGAACAAAGCTGGAGAGACAGTTGACCTGACAGTCCTGATAGCTGCTCTCTCCAATGTTGTGTGCTGCAAGTTTTAGTGGAGTACTTCTTAATTTTGGCCCCCTTCCAGACTTTTTGATTTTAAACTTTTATGCACTTTACCTTCAATTTCCACACATGGACCCCCCCCACGCTAAGGGGGATGTATTTTTTTCTTCTTCATCCCCTTTTCCAGTCCATCAAGGGAAATGTGCTGACTCTTGCCTTGATGTTTTGTCAGTATGGACTTGTGGGCAATTACCAAAAAATTTTAGTATGTTATATAAATTGCTGTGATAACTCCCCATGACAAATTATGTTAAGTCCTAGGAGGTGTATTCATTAAGTCACAGGTCCTCTTCTATTGTACCCCTGATCTGTTCTCAAGTTTTTCTATATGACAGTTTGCCTGGGCTCCATTGTGATCACCCTGCCTTTCCTCAGGAGAATGAGCGGCCTGAGCATCATGGACTACAACTATATTGAACATCTTTACACCATCTTTGCTGTGTTGTGAGCTTTGTTACATGCATGTCAAAGAGTGTATTCACGTTCCTGTTCAGTGCTTGTGTGTATATAAAGAACCTGCAACTGAATTATGTACAGATTTTGCACTGGTTGTCCACCATGTCATTTTTTTCAGCACTTGTAAATAAAAAAAAAATGCTAATCAATCTTTGGTAAGTTTCTTTCATTGTACCTACACTGAATATTTGACCTAAAATTCAGTTTTCTTTCTGTGATAGTTGAAACTTGTGCGTTTCAGAGGACGTGAGATTCTTCAAATAAGACCCCACAAATCAATCTGGCACAGCCATGAGATGAGGTAAGCCATGGTTTTGTTTACAAATTGAGTCATTTGTTCACCGAACAATAAACCAATGTGATGCAACATGGAGCTCAATCCATGCTTTAGCAACATAGGGATAAGGTGACTTGCTGTTAAAGCTAAGGTAGTCATACATGACAATACTCTGAAATTAAAGATCTGTGGGCATTTCACTTCATATCCAACAGCTTCAGTATTCAACAGGCCAAAAATGAACCGTGGAGGTTGTATAATTTAAGTTCTCTGGTAGAGCAAAAAAAAAGTGAAGCCCTCAGGGGTGTTTACTTTGGGGGTTTCAATAGAAAGTCAAGTACAGTATTGTTCAAAATAATAGCAGTACAATGTGACTAACCAGAATAATCCAGGTTTTTAGTATATTTTTTATTGCTACATGGCAAACAAGTTACCAGTAGGTGCAGTAGATTCTCAGAAAGCAAACAAGACCCAGCATTCATGATATGCACGCTCTTAAGGCTGTGAAATTGGGCAATTAGTTGAAAGGGGTGTGTTCAAAAAAATAGCAGTGTCTGCCGTTGACTGTACAAACACAAAACTATGTTGTACAAACGTTTTTGTTTCTAGGATTTAGCAATCCTGTGAATCACTAAACTAATATTTAGTTGTATGACCACAGTTTGTTATAACTGCTTCACATCTGTGTGGCATGGAGTCAACCAACTTGTGGCACCTTTCAGCTGTTATTCCACTCCATGATTCTTTAACAACATTCCACAATTCATTTACATTTCTTGGTTTTGCTTCAGAAACAGCATTTTTGATATCACCCCACAAGTTCTCGATTGGATTAAGGTCCGGGGATTGGGCTGGCCACTCCATAACATTAATTTTGTTGGTTTGGAACCAACACTTTGCTCGTTTACTAGTGTGTTTGGGGTCATTGTCTTGTTGAAACAACCATTTCAAGGGCATGTCCTCTTCAGCATAAGGCAACATGACCTCTTCAAGTATTTTGACATATGCAAACTGATCCATGATCCCTGGTATGCGATAAATAGGCCCAACACCATAGTAGGAGAAACATGCCCATATCATGATGCTTGCACCACCATGCTTCACTGTCTTCACTGTGTACTGTGGCTTGAATTCAGAGTTTGGGGGTCATCTCACAAACTGTCTGTGGCCCTTGGACCCAAAAAGAACAATTTTACTCTCATCAGTCCACAAAATGTTCCTCCATTTCTCTTTAGGCCAGTTGATGTGTTCTTTGGCAAATTGTAACCTCTTCTGCACATGCCTTTTTTTTGAGGACATGCCCTTGAAATGGTTGTTTCAACAAGACAATGACCCCAAACACACTAGTAAACGAGCAAAGTGTTGGTTCCAAACCAACAAAATTAATGTTATGGAGTGGCCAGCCCAATCCCCGGACCTTAATCCAATCGAGAACTTGTGGGGTGATATCAAAAATGCTGTTTCTGAAGCAAAACCAAGAAATGTAAATGAATTGTGGAATGTTGTTAAAGAATCATGGAGTGTAATAACAGCTGAAAGGTGCCACAAGTTGGTTGACTCCATGCCACACAGATGTGAAGCAGTTATAACAAACTGTGGTCATACAACTAAATATTAGTTTAGTGATTCACAGGATTGCTAAATCCTAGAAACAAAAACGTTTGTACAACATAGTTTTGTGTTTGTACAGTCAACGGCAGACACTGCTATTTTTTTTAACACACCCCTTTCAACTAATTGCCCAATTTCACAGCCTTAAGAGCGTGCATATCATGAATGCTGGGTCTTGTTTGCTTTCTGAGAATCTACTGCACCTACTGGTAACTTGTTTGCCATGTAGCAATAAAAAATATACTAAAAACCTGGATTATTCTGGTTAGTCACATTGTACTGCTATTATTTTGAACAATACTGTATATATATTACATTTTTTTTTCTATTAATATTCCCACAATGGATCTAGACCATTTTATGGTATGATTATGCAAAATGATGGTCAAGTGTCTGTACTCTGAACTTACTGCTCTCTACAGAATAAATTAAAGTGTTGACTCTCTAGGAGTACCGAGTTACAACAGTGCTTTTATCAGATTATGCACTTCACCCTGTGTGTTACTAAAGATAAAATACTTTGTTCAGAAATATTTTATTTAAGTGAGCACATGATGAAAACAAAAGGGATGTAAGTGCAGGAGAGCTGTTTACAAACATGCAGGTTGTACTATACTGTCCAGCCTTTATACATATCCCCAAATAAGAGGGTTTGTCAGCTATGCAGCAGTTACAAAAATAACTACAAGATGTCACTTCATTGCTACTTTTAAAACAGATTTAACAGTAAAGGGAAGAAGAAACGATTCATTTTTTGCACAGTAGTGTCCATTTGGCTGCTCAGTGAGCTACCTGTTGTATGCCCTCTCCTTCTTGGCCCTCTCTAAGGCTTTGTCCATGGTCTTCTCATTCTCACCCCTACACTTGGGGCAGTACCACTTTCCCTTGGGCTTGTGATGGAGCCCAACACAGGAGAAATGAAACCATTCAATGGGGCATTCATCGTTATCACAGCCAATCATCTCGCCATAGGACACCTGCTCACACAGGCAGTATGTTGGCTCATCTGGATCAATGGGCAGATCTGGAGGCGACACTTCTCTTTCAGACTTTGCTTTTGACCGTTTCTTCTTTTTAGAAGATGTCTTGGCACGTTTTTCACGGGATAATCCCCCTTCTTCAGTGTGATCCAGGGCCCCGTAAGTTTCCCGATTTTCTCCATTCTTCTGACGCCTCGAGCGTTTACCTCCAGTCTTGTCTCCACCACCTGAGCTAGAGATAACCTCATCTCGCTTCTTGTCATGGTGGCCAGGTTTGCCTGGAGTGGTGGTGGCTATTGATGGAGACATCATAGATGCTGCACTAGTTGCCATGGATGTTGCTATGGGAATGTGACTTTCAGGGACTTCTTGTGAGGAGAGGAGAAGTTCAGAATGCCAGTCTATTTGTCGTGTTCGGTTTTCAACCAACTCCACCTGAAACAAAGAACATTCTTGTGTTTGTCTTCTTTTAAACCAAGAAAAGTAAAATTTCAGTTAGGCTATATAATGAGCTGCAGTTTGGCATTCCTTGTATACATGTTTTATTTTTATTCAGAAACCACAATTTCTTTAACAAAACTGAACACGTTGAAACATCCTAGTTTATTCAGTTGTTGCACTACTGAAATCTAACTTTCTTCTCGTTGTTGCTATTTGTTTTTCCACTTCAAAGGTATTTTTTCCAAGTATATAAACATCTTTGGAGGCTGTATTTTGTGCTGCTGCTGAATTCTATTGTATTAGACAGCATTAGTTTCAGCTACTTAATAAACTGCCAACTGAGTGTGTGCTAAAGCGGAAAGTTAAATATGGAAAGTTAAATATGTTTCTAGTGAGTCTCTTGTGTTTACTGCTGGAGTCCTGCAAATGTGCAAAACTGTCTCTGGTAGTAATTTAAAAGATACTCCATATTTTCTATATAAGCCATATTTTAAACACTTCCCATACAGAGACTACAACCAACAATGAGTCAGAACTAGATTATCTTATTAGGATAATCACCTTTATTTGGCCAAGTATGTTACACACAAGGAATTTCTGTTCCATAGACCTCCACTGTTATACAAAATCACAAGAGTGAAACACATTGCTGCACTGGTTATGTTTTCTCATGATGAAACACAGAGCCCAGATAATTTTATTTATTTATGCATGTTTTTCCAAAAGTAACATTTCAAATTTCATTGTACTTCTATTCAAAGGCGCTGAATGGCCATAACTTTTTACAGCATCTAAAGTAAGAATTTATGGTCCATGCACTCTCTGGGTATTAACAAATATTAGAACTTTGTAATGAGGAACTATGTCATTAAGTGCAGCCATGTGTTTCTGAACAACAATGGGGGGGGCTAAAGCACAGATGAATCAGCTAATCCAGGACCAACAAACAATGGGTAGAGGCAATTTGTTGTTTTTAAGTCTGATCACAAATGTTGCAGAAAGCACTGCTCTGTCCTCACAGTTGCACACATTCAGACTTAACTGCCAATGAGCAGCTCCACTAAAACAGCTGCAGGATGGTCTTTACTTACCATTTGGCCAACAATCTGGATCTTTTCATCTCCCAGCTCTTGACTGCGGATCAATGCCCTGTGAATCGATAACTGAAGCTTTCGCCTCTGAAGTGAGTCAGTTTCCCGGCGATACCGTTCATAAGCATCTTCAAGTTCTTTCAGAACATCTGCCAGGAAAAAAAAAGCAGGCAGGAGTAAGAATACTGAAATTCAACATTCCCAAAGCACATGTATTATAAACAGGATGTGACTGATTATTTCTGGCAGTTGGTAATAAAAGTTGCTGAGACACAAACACGTGAGAGGTAAAGAACAGTGGGTTCAAAAGTAAGAGGATATTCTAGCTGCATGTTTACAACGTAGTGTACAATTCATCGTGTCTGAAATAAAGTTTGTGCTTACGTGCTGACCACAGTACACAAAGCTACTATAGATAATATGCACCAAGTATACCAAATAAACACTACCTGAATTTTCCCTATGATAACTATCCTATTGCATAATCCTTTAAAGAAAACGTCTCAACATATCCTGTTAATGACATTGTCAGCTAAAGCATCAAATAGTGTTAACGATGGTACTATCGATTTTGTAACATCTTTAGTTTTTTGTGTGAATTGTTTAAAAACATTGAAAGATCTGTCCTGCACAAAACTGTTCACACTGTTAAGCTTCTTTACCTTGATACTTGGCATCAATTTCCTTCATGAGAGAGACACTCCTCTGTAGGTCAAAAGGTAGTGACTCCACCAGGTCCAAATACTCTTCAACATAATTAACAACAATGTGGCCTGGGTCGCCATTGGTCGGGTTCAACATTGTGGATCCCTCTTTACTACAGCACACTAACACTTGCACCTGTAAATGACAAATCATTATAAGACTGATGCACTTTAAATTCATGTAAAGACTTGCTGTTCTAGGTTGCAAAAGTAAACACTCTTGGCCATGACTAATTTACTTGCACTGGACATGTCTGCTTTAAATGTTATGCATATTAACTTGTGTATTTTATAGGAACCACAAATTTTGTTTTCAAATATAGGTTATATGAATTCAGTGCATACACAGACTATAACGGTCAAAATATTAAAGGGGATGATGCAGTGGGTCTGCAGTCAACCACCCTGAAAATAGATATGGGGACTATGAATCTGTCAATACAGAGCTAACAAGTACCGATAAGTAATAACTAACCTCAAGAATATAAACTATCACCTCATAACTCCAGATAGAAAACAGTACTGAAGTTATCGTGCAACACCCTGAGGTGCACCGTCTTCTTTGCACCAAGAGAGAAAGTTAGCATTACCCAGATTTCTGGTGATTAGAAAAAAGTTAACGTGAAAATCAACCACACGCATTCTGCGCCCGCGTGACAGAAATAACTCCACAGTTGGCGGTATCTGTTCAGAAAGGGAAAGAAGAGCTAGAAAGCAAAAGTAAAAGCTATAAACAAAACACCTCATTCAAAACATCTGCTGTTTCACGCACAGATTTATTGGCCAAGTACGTTTCTCTCTCACACACACACACACGCACAGAATTTGTCTCCAGTATAGAATCGATGCAGCTATCACACAAACACACCGATGGTGGCGCTGTCCCTGGAAGCTGCTACTCTGGCCATAGCAGCTTCTAACAGAGACTGTGATAAGTTGCAAATGACACTGCCTTTGTCTGCTCTTGGTTTTTTGGTTGTGGAAGAGAGGTGGTGGAGGTGAAAAACGAGAAACCACACTAGATGACTACTACAGCGACAGGCAGAAGGGGATTCCCAAGCCGATCTCTTCTCTTGCATTGATTTGCTAAACTCAAGAACCAATCAATGGTTTTTCTCTCATCAACAAGGTCCGACCTTCGATGCCGATTCAACGTGTCGAATAGACGGAGGCCGATTAGTGCCAATGGTGCGGGACACAACGGGAGGATGAAACGCGGCAGTCACTTACCGACGGCCGACCAGCTGGCGAGTTCACGTTAACGCTGAGTAACCAACTTTGTCCTATTTGGCGACGGGCAAACGGTCACTCCAGTACACACATTAAAACATTTACTTAATGTTAACCCACCTTAATCTGTCTGACAGCACTAGTGATTTACTAAGCAAACGAAATTGGCAAAGATTAATCAACGCTGAGAAACGTTCTACAGCCACTTCAATCACCCACAACCAAAACAATCACAGGGCACTAATCAAAATGCTAACGTTACACAGACAGATCAGCAGAGTTTGTGCTATTTCAAACACTAAGCTAACAATTTAACTGGTCTTACATCTATCAAGTTTGTTTCAAAGTAGCTGTTAGCCAAATTAGCTTGTTAGCCTTCACGCGTAGCGTTACCAAACGAACCACCGCAAACCAATATTAGAGAACACGCTATACATATAAGACCAGTTAGCAGATAACCGACTAGAAAAACACCCTACCTGTGTGGACACGAGTGTTTTTGTTTTGTTTTTTTTAAGCTAACCTTTACCACTCCGTGAAATGGCTCTTGCTGCTAGCGGCTGGTCGTGTATACACCATCGATGTAAGGGGTGTAAACTGCCTGGACAAATATTTTCAGTTGTGCGCATGCTCAGTTACTGCAGTAGAAAACGGCTATAGAAACCGCAGATAGAGGTTAATGAATTAAACGATTAATGTATACGTCTCATTGACTTTAAGAAACCCCTATATTCTTGTGAACGTGACCGTTTTATTACCACTCCGCCATACTCAACCAACACCAGAAGTTTTATAGCTTTTACCCAAACAGGCTTTCTTTGGTCTCGGTGTTTTGTAACAAAAGCGACCACCATAGGTTCCCATGTTACAAGTCAACCACGGTGGCTAAAAGTTACATTGCCATGATGTAACGACACTACTTTAAATAACTTGTTCAAAAAGTCACTCACACAAAGTGTAATTTAATATTTATTTCAAAAATCATACAAGTTTCTAGTTTACTTTGACCCCATTAAACTTACCCATCGGTCTCTTTGGTGGATGAACATGTGTGGTGGATCTACTTCCTCAAGAGATGGAAGACAGTTTTTTTTAGTTTCAAAATCGGTTTATACACCTCAATCAACAAGTCTGTGTGCATTTTTTGCACCCGATTTTGAGAACTGCCTTTGCCTTCAAAGACAGTTATTAGTCCACACCTGTCTAACCTTCACTTAAATTAAACTTGATAAAACTTTTCCACCAGTCCACTCACTGCCTATATTAATAGTTTTAAGGAAAGCAAAACTGAGTATGTATGTATGTATAGTTTTTTTTAAACAATTACAATTTCATTTGGCCATTTTTAGCTTTCAAATAGCTTTTTAAAAGCTGAGCCGATCTCCTGGATCATGTCTGAGGTGGTGGTGGATCTGCCGTGTTGCTGGAATGCTTGACTGTTGCACTGTCTGGTTAGCGCACAGGCTCCGAATGCAGCAACCACAGACGGATTCACACTGGAGAGGACAAAATGATAGATTAGGAAACATACCGTCACCAACATAAAACCATATGACACTTTAAGAGGGACCATGCTGGGGTTTTGTATGTTTTTAGCCTTTAGTTCCTGAATGATACCAAACCCACATAATAATAGCAATAACAAAAAAACAAAAAAAAGAAGAAATCTACCGTGTGTGTGAGAAAGGGAACTAAATACTCAACTTTGAGAGTATTAGACTAGGAAGTGTGTGGCATCTTTATTAAACTTAAATATTTAAACATTACAATGATCAAAGTGTGACAATTTTACGTAGACTGGATTGTGCAATTCGATTTTTGTAACATGGTGAAGCCATTGGAAACCAAAAGGTGCTGTAAAGCTATTAATAAAAAGTCTTAACACTTAAAGGATGTTTGGGAAATAAGTCACATAATGCAAGGTTTATACACTTTGTAGATAATGCGCTTAAACTCGTAAAAGCTCTGGTATGGTCCTTTAAAAGTGCCATATGCTACCACTAACACATGATACAGAAACAGCCAAACACGTCTTCACCTTCTGATCATTCCAGCTGCAGAGGCAGCATAAGCCCAGTGTGCCAGCACTCCCATGGATCCAGAAAGGAGATCACCCTGTCCACCGCATCTTCTCCCACTGCCCTCAGTACTGCATGAGATCACTGAAAACAAGAAGTTACAACTTGAGATCACAAAAGAAAAACAGCCGTGTCTCAGTAGTGATTTATACCATTAGAATGAAAAGTTAAGTCTCTTTTACAAGGTTGTGTTTACACCTCAGTGGGCTTGATACTAACCCTTACTGCCATCTGTAATCAGATCCCGTTCTCCCTTTAGCACCACCGTGATGTTACCCATGGCTACACTGAGCTGCATGACACTGCGTTGATAGTCACTGCTGTCCATGGGTTCATGGTGCTGAGACAGCAACAAACAGATACATTAACAGGCACATTTTGTTACATGCCATATGGTGGTAGCTGCTGACTGAACTTTGCCAGGAGACCCACCAGTGCCTCATACAGTCGAGTGAACTCCATGAAGTTAGGTGTAAGGATACCCTTCTGGTACCCTTGAATAACAGATGGTTGCTGTGTAGCTAGCCATAGTCCGTCCTGTTAAAAACAAAATGACACACACAAACACTCAGTGATTATGTGTGGCTTTGAAAATAAAATCCATCTGCTCAACAGCTGCAACTTGATTTTATCAAGGCTTACCGCATCAATGACTATAGGGATATCTTTTGCTTTTGACTTCTCTATCACCTCCTAAAAGAGAGAGAAAGTGGTCCAACAAGCACAATCATTGTACTAAATATATTAAAATGTTCATACACACAAATTCTCATTTTCAGTCATCAGTCACAGGGAACCACAAACACAAAGAGTTGTGGAGCTTAAATGCATTACTGTGCTCTATCTAAAACAGTTAATGTTAAAAATATAACACTAGATGAGTTGTGGTTATGCACCAGCAGCTGGGACTATTGCAAGAGAGAGTGAATACTCCACGTGCCTTAGCTGTTTTCAGTAACAAGTCTTCTCTCCCTAGACCTGGTCCCACGACTAGGCTGTGCAGTCTTGGGAGCCATTTTTCTATCTCTTCCACAGCATTTGGACTGTCCCTTAATGCACAGATACACACACAAATAAAGATGCACACATTATACTTGTCTGAATGCACAAATTATGACAGTTCCTACCCTGGTTATGTGCTTATTCCCCGAGCTAGCTATCTATCTATCTATATATATAGTTAATTTAAATAATCCTGTTTTTCATGAAAAATATTATGAATCGCTGTTATTATGGCAACCATGCATACACATACCAGTGGTTGAAAGGATGTGCACACGTCTCTGTAGCTCAAATAAATTGTATATCCCAAGTACACTATTGTATATTTGCCAAGACCTGCTTGTCCATATGCTACCTTCACCCTGTTTTACCTCATATAAATATATATAGTTACTATAAACCTTCATAATGCATTTTGATATGTTTTAATTATAACATTCATACTTAATTTAAATAAATCCACACTATTCCTCTATCAATGATCAGAGTGTTGTCACTGATTAAAACCTGGGGCTCTGTCAAAATGACATCCATCTATTAAAAGGTCCAGGTGGAGCTGTACTTACAGAACAGGATGAACTATGAGCTCAGGGCTGTATGACTTGATTACAGCTGCAGCATCTTTGGTGCAGAACACATGAGACAAGTCAGCTCCCTGGAGACAAGGAGAAAGGTGCCGTCACTGCACCAGAACTGGACTTCAAATAAAAAACTTTTTTTTTTACTCTAACATCGGAATTACTGCTTACCACTTTCAATGCAGAGATGGCAGCAAAGTATGGAGCTCCGGTGTAGCTTTAAGGTGTGGAGATGAAAACAATTAGAGCAAACATTTAAATAGAATGACAAATTAAACTCGTTTGGTGAATTCTGTTTATATTGAGGAGTTGGTCGTCATGCCACTTACTCTTGGCATCCTCCAATGATTCCAATACGTCCATCTTGTCCCTTGTGCTTTTTGGATGTCAGTGGGGGGATTATGCTCTTTACCACTGAGAGGACATCATCATCCATTCCTCTCTCTGATGTAGACCCCAAGCTGCAGTAGCGTTCAAACACTGAGGAAATAAACAAAGTGGGGTTTTTTAAGTGTGGAAACTTGTTTGGTCTGAGTTAGTGTCTAATCTCCATTTTCACCTTCAAAAGCCAAAACATGACAAAAACCTGGCAACAGAAACAACACACAACTAAAACAAAAAATAATGTACTGCGAATAAAGAAAAACTGATTAACAGCATTATGGCTCCTTCACATTACAGCTCACATGCCTTCATTTCCATTTCCCCTTCACACATGACACCGAAACCAATACCTAACGCCTGCGGATCTGGGTTCAACAGCTGACTTTGTTGTTGGATGAAACAGTCTTTCTGGGGTGAAGGCCGCCTGAGATGACTGGACTGGCCGCGTGTACATGACAGGGAGCCACTGGAGAGCACAGGGGCGCAGGCAGGAGGAGCGGTCTTGGAGGGAGTAGCCGCAGAGCCAGGTCTGGCAGAGGAGGAGATGCTGGAGAACATCTGGCCAAGCATCTGAAGCATGTGCAGCTCCCTGGCATGTTCAGCTTCTCTGCGACGGTCTTCTGCATTCAAGCGCTGCTCCTCCATCCGGTAGAAGTTGTCCTCAGCCTGGGCACTTTGCTCCAGGAACTGCTCCATCAGTTTCTCCATGGGGAAGTTAGCTCGCCGCTTTCTTGCTCGTTTAGGTGGTCTGGCTGATAGATTACTGGCCAACTGGCTGCTGTTTTGTGGTCTTACTGCAGTGCCTGATGTGAAAAGGATGAGACATTATGTGACAATATACAGTAAAACTATCATTAACACAAAAGAATGACATGTGGACTAGGATGGAGCACTTACTATTACTGCCCACTGTCACTTTAACTGGGATAGGGATGGGGATAGTTGGGTATTCCAGCTTCACTTCAGTCTCTGCAGGACAAGGACACTCATCTGTGCTCTCTGGGTATGCGTCTTGAGCATCTTCTCCATCCTCCTCCAGGCCATCCCCGGCCTCCTCTCCTCCCGCCCCGCTGTCTATTAACTCCTGAGGGTCAATGGCGGGCCGGTTGCTCAAAATCCTCTCCATTATGTCATAAAACTTACAGATCTTGTGATACTGCCCGTTGTTCCGCAGATTACCTTCTTTTGCTAACAGGTACTGTCTCTTGAGGCTTTTGATCCGCACCCTGCATTGTTCCGGCGTCCTTTCAAACCCCATCGCTCCCAGCCTTCGGGAAACGTCGCGATACACGAAGCTGTTTCGGAAGTTTCCATCCAGCGCCGTCTGGATGTCCTGCTCCCCCCAGATGTTCAACAAGGTCCTCGTCTCTACGTCCGACCACAAGAAGCCCCGCGTTGTGTTTGCTTGCATAGCGGATTCAAGCCTCTTTGCTGAGAGTAACCTCCACTACGAGGATCTGAATGGAGATGTTGACACTGCGGGTTATGATGGACGTCTGGATCACCGCCGCGGAGCGCCGCTATACTAAACAACATCGACAACGACAACTGGCCTTTTAGATTACTTAGCAGGACTATTGTCGGTAAATTTCGTAGCTTTGATAAACTTGGGAACCATCATAATAGCTTGTGCAGATGAACTCTTTGTATGCTAGCTACAACCTATCCGTCTATGTTTATCCTTTTACGTCGTTAGCAAAATGCGTCGCTTAGTACTTTGACATCAACTGACTGGGGATCGGCTTCACGGGCGCTTTCAACACATTAACCCCCCTTTTCGGGAATTTTCAAAACTGACCTCTGATCAGTCCTCTGTGGGTAACTTCACCTCCCTCCGCTTGGCCCTCCGCCCATGCTAGCAGTCCGCGGGGTCTTAGAGCCCCAAACACAACCAACTCTGGGCTTGAACCTGTCATCACCTCGCCCACCATGGCAAAGCACCGATACGCGTTTCTTTAACGCCTAATGTTAATGCTAACAGGACGTTGCAGTAAAATAAAAACATCATAATACTTCATCCACTTTACCTTTCTCGTTCAAACACACCAGTGTGGTTACAATCGACAGCGCAACTGTGATAAAGCAAAAGGCGAGCATCTGAATCGGCTGCGGAATGTTGTCATTCATTCTTTGCTTTCCCACTAGTGGAAGCTCCCTAGCTCTTCTTACCTAAACTGGATCTGCGTTTCACCGCTGACAACTGTACACAAATGATCCTGAGCATGGGGCACGACAACCCTATCCACCACTACAGGAAGGAAACGCTTATGATGCCTTTAAATCTCCCTCGGACACCGTAGATCTCAGTAGGTTGAAATCCGTCAACAACTAGCCAGCACAGCTGAGCTGCTAAAGCGGAAGTCCCTTCAAAGCTGTAACACCCTCTAGAAGTGACATGCCCCATTTAGGCTAATCAGTAATAATAAAAGCAAACATGTTTCTTCTGTCCATTTTCTATAAGTCTGACCATGTCAGATGCAACTGTGAGCATATCACTCTTACTTTTCTTGCTCAAGAGAACGTGGCAATAACTTTCGTTGACACTGCTGTTACTGGGACATAACAATAAGCCCTTGGCAGTGAGCCCTCTAATCTCATGATTTATCTTTAAAGCAAAAGTAAACACAAAGTCCCAGTACACTCAGCATCAATTACTAGAGCAATTCTTTTCAATTGCAATTAATCCTCACTGTTCAACGTGTTCTGCGTGTCATAAACTGGAGGGATTAGTTTAAAGGCATGTGATATTTTACCCCGAGTTTAGCCTTGTGGGTGAAAAAGAAACCCCTTACTGTGCACAAATCCCTCCTTCCTCAATTAATAGGACTGAACCAGTCATAAACATAAACATTGAAATGTGTTGAGGACTAGCATTTCATTGGTGGTTCACACAAATGTTCCCCTACAGTTTGTAGGGGAAGTTTTCATAATCAACGTGGAACAGTCTGTTTGGTCTCTTGTGCTAAAAGATGCAGTTTGCATAACATTACAATAACATTTTTACTGTTTTAGAGTTATTGGTGACAAAATGCCATTAAATGAAAACACCTCACATTTAGTCTCTGATTTTTTTTTTAAATGTTTTTACAAATGTATCTTGAAGATGGATAGAAAAAAAATTAAATTCACAAATACATTTATGTTTTTGGCAACAATTAAAAACAATTTTGCTGATAGTAGTCCAATTTGTTTTGTAATATCAGATGCTTTATTTTTTCCCATAATTATCTAATCTAATCATTATCCTATGTAATTTCTTTTCTTGAATGTATTGTTGTTATTTTGTTTCACTTTTTTTCTTCCTTTTCTAATTTCTGCAGCTGCATTGTAAGATTACTTGTGATTGCATCACTTAATTTAATATATTTCCTATATTTATTCTATAAATAGTTTTATTTGAAAAAGACA